AAGGAGATGAATAGAAGACTATTTTTCAAACTAAGTATGGATATTTTGAATACAACATCATGCTTTTTGGACTTATAAATGCATTGGCAGCTTTTCAATATTTAACAAGTAATATTTTTTGAGAATTTTTAGACAATTAAGTTGTCTGTTATCTCAACAATATCTTCATCTATAATAGGAACATAGATGAACATGAACTTCATATTTGTCATGTGTTACAAAAATTAAGAGATGCGTGACTCTATGCCTAGATAGAAAAGTATGTATTCCACACTATTCAAGTTCACTTCTTAGGATACATCATTTCAAATAATGGACTTATAATAGATCCTAAGAAAATTCAAATTATTATGGATTGGAAGATTCTAAAAACAATAAGAGATGTCCAATGCTTTTTGGGCTTTGCCAACTATTATCAGATCTTCATCAAAGATTTTTTTCAAATTGTAGTTCCACCTACACGTTTGATTTGTAAATATAAGTTTAAATATAGCAAAGAAGCAGAAGTATCTTTTGAAGCTTTGAAGTCAATTTCTATTTTTATACCAATTTTATATAATATCAACTTTTTTAAGATATTTTTAATAGAAATTGATGTATCAAACTTTGCTTTAGGTGTTATATTATTATAAATGGCAATAATTGATAAACTTCACTAAGTAACTTTTTATTCCAAAAAAATTTCATGAACCAAGATTAACTATAAAATCCACAACAAAGAGCTTCTTATAATTGTGGATTCATTTCAAGAATGGCATCTTCATCTAGAAGGCACTTTTAATCTAGTCACTGTGTATATAGACTATAAGAATCGTGAGTACTTTATGTCAACATATATTTTGAAACATCGCAAAGCTCGTTGAACCATGTCTTTATCAAGATTTGATTTCAAGATCACATATTAACCTAAAAAATAATAAGGTTTGTCGGACGTCCTTTCTAGATGTTTTTATCTTATACCAAAAAAAAGAGATGCATCTTTTGATTAGCAAAGAATGATTCTCTTGAAGCCAAAGCATTTTCATCTTTGAGTAATGAAATCAACATTGTCTGTTGATCCAAATCATGTTTCATAATTTTATTAGAGGTGGAAACAACTCTTGACGGTGTTCCAAATATTTTATTTGAAGGAAGTTACGAAGGTCTTAAGAATGACCAAATAATAGGGTGGTCTTTCTACCTTAGAATTGGATACTATCGATGGTTGAGAAGCCCTATCAGCTATATTCAAAGAGAACAAAGATCTGAGTATGTGGTGAATACAATTCATCACATCATAGATTTTCTCAACATATGATGACCACTCCTCATGGAACTTGTTCCTAAAAGGGAGGATAATGTTACAGATATATACATATAAGCTGGTAATTACTTGTATATATAGGTAAAAATAAGTTAATTTTATATTATCTTCTAAAGAAGCTTCTTAGAAGCTATATAAACTGTTCTTTGACTTTATAGGTGTCCATTTGTTGATTTTTAGATTGGAGACTTGGTCAATAAGTTAACCATGTGCCATACATATTGATAGTTTGAAGAAAAAACTAACTATGTAGTCCATACATAAAAAACTTGCCTTCTAAGTTAAGGCATGTGTTCTGCAAAGTCAATACATATTGGAGGTCCTATAGAAAATTGCCACGTAGCTTCTAGTTTGATAGTATATATAGAGGCAAGAGTGAATGCTTCTTCACTCTTGTCAACTTCTTTCTTGCTTCTAGTCTAGTTTCAAGAGTCTCAAGTTTTCTTATCTTTTGACAATAAGCCATTTCAGTTTCTTTTTAATATACGTACTTCTTTATTTTTATTTTGTCACTTTTTCTTTGAAATGGATTTTATTGATTTATGCATCATCTTTCAGTTCATATCCTTGATACAAACTCTTTAGGCATACTAAACTTTGTCTATTTCATGCTTGTAGAAACAAGACTTTTTGGATTTGGTTGTGAGGTCAATCTACTTATTTCTTTCAACTATACAACTTCTTAGCATAGACTTTGGACTTCTTCTATAGGTATAGAAATAGTGCTTTTATAGTTGGCATAGATAATGTATGAAATTTCTACCCTATGAATGTTCATAAGTTCGTGAAGATCTCCAATAGTTGTAAATCTATTTTCACTCTTATCAAGTATAACATCTATGATTTTTTCTTCTATTTCAAATAAATTTATAAATTCATAAGTTAGAGTAGAGAAAGATAATCCGCAACCTCTAATATTGAATAAATTTTTTTCCAAAGAGGGATAATTTACTTTCTTTTAAAAAAGAAATTAGTGTTGGATAAGTAAATGTTAGTTCAAAGTGGATAGTTTGCAACCTTTAAAATACAATAATAGAAATATAGCCATCTACTTATTTCTAAAAATAAGATAAGAATAATGAGTTAAAACTCTTATCAATTTGTCAAGAATAAAAATTTGATGAAGGCAAATAAAGAAGTGAAACTTTTCTCAAAGAAAGGTGATAAAATAAAAATAAGAAATATGTATATTCATTAGGATATACGTGGCAATATTTTATAGGATCTCCAATACATTTTGACTATGCTAAACACATGCTTTAACTTAAAAGGCAAGTTTTCCATATGTCTATCCTATAGTTAGCTTGTTCCACAAGCTATCAATATTGAATATCTAAGTAAAAGAAAAGATAATCAAAAATAAAAAAAATCTTATCTTTATCAGATTTGAAAAAAAAATAATAATTCTAACACAAATTTTACTACAAGATCATGTCATAATTATACTAAAAATAGTATTTTAATATAAAGTTCTTCAAAAATAAAAATATTTAGAAAACTTTATACATATATTTATATATATAATTTAAATGATTTAATATTATAATAATTAATTAATAAATATAATAATAATAATAATAAATTAAATTAAAAAACATCATACATCTATTTTTACTATTTTTTTGATTTTATCCAACTAGAAATTACTAGATAATTAGCTTATTATAATAAAAAAAATATAATAAAATTTTAAAGAATAATAAGTAGCATAGCTTTTAATAAATAAAATACTATTAGAATTACTTTACTATGTAAATTTTAATTAAAGAAGAAAAAATATTTATTTTAATGATACTTTGTTGATTCATACTTTTAAAATGTTAAAAATTGTGTATTTTTTGTAAGCTAATATTGTCTACTTCAATGAAGAATGTGTGTGTGTGTGTTTTTTTTTTTTTTTTTTTTTTTTTTAATAATCAATTATTCCAAAATAAATTTTAATTAAATTTAAAATTTTATTTAAATTTTTAAATAATATTCTAAAATGATCAAGAATTTTTGTATAAAAATATTAAAAAACTAAAAATATTGAAATTTGATAACAAATTAATTTTAACAAATTTAATTTATATTAGAATATGGGAAATTTGATAAAATTAAGTTTTATTATATAATTAAAATAAGATGGCATGCATTTAGTATAATGCAATAATAAGATTTTTAATATTTTTCATGGTTGAAAATAAGATTAATCTTGTGTTTCTTGTAAATAAAATTTGCCAACATATATCTAAGATCAACCATATATATATATATATATATATATATATATATACACACATGTACATTGAATTTAATAATAATATATAATATAAAAAATACAATTATTTGTTTAAGTTTGAATAATTTTTAAAATAAAAATATAATAATATTTAATATAGTTTCAATAAAAATTGTGAGAAATAGAAATATATAATTTTTAATATTTTTTTAGAGAGTTTTTTTTAAAATATGAAAAAAATTGTTTGAGCAATCCACAATTACTTATTATCCTAAGGAAGTGCAGTACGTGAAAAAGACTTTATGTGCCATAGAGTTTATTCAGATTACATAATTTACAACAAATATTGGTCTTACAAAAATGAAGCCAATAGTGATATTTGTGATATATGAGGATTTATGCATTCATATGAGAACAACGTTTATTATTGCATGAAATATATAAATATAAAATTCTAACATAATTAAAGGATGATTGAAAATGTAATAAGATATTTGAAACATTATCATAGAGGATATATTTTTGATATATTTATATATTATCATAGAGGATATTATATATATATATATATATATATATATATAATTCTATAAAAATTAATAAATCTGAAGTCTTTTTTCATCTATGAACTGAAAGTATAAAAGAATAATTTGTTATAAAATTTAAAAAACTCTTAGAATCATCTATACAGTAAAAAATTGGTTGAAAAAAAATATAAGATAACAATATGATTGATTACAACAATTAATTGTGATTAAATTAGTAAAAAATTTAAACATGGTTAATGATTTATTTAATATTATAAATATATTACAAAACCATATCCAAAAGAATTATAAATACCAAAACAAATAGTTAACCTAAAGATTGCTTTAAAGAGAGTTATGTATTAAATTATGAGTCTTATATTCATATACACTATTCTTATATTGTTATACTTCAATACCTTTAAATAAAAAGTCACTAAACACATTAATGTTTAGGTTATGGTGTGTGAGGCAAGCCGATTGTAATTTTCAAGATTCACAAGAAGTAAAAAATGTATCTTTTTATTTTTTCCCTTGTTTAGTTAATTCTTTAATCACATAGAGCCATGCCAAATTAGAAATCAAACTAATAAATATAAATTATTTAAGTCTAACAGTTTCATTATATGTAAAATTTGTGGTGTTATCAATTTGTGTGTGTGAGATCTTTTTGGGAGGAGGGTAAAAGTCATTCTATTTCCCACATTCTAACCCATTCTACAGAGGCTGCTCGAGCAAATGAACGTTTCTTCCATGTTGGCCTGTCTTAAGTGCACCGAGAGAGAGAGAGAGAGAGAGAGAGAGTGTGGGTGGGGCTGGAGCGGGTCTGTCCACTAGCACGGGACAATGCCCCTCACCCGCTCGCTCTATTCATCCACACACCAATGCATTCATCTAATCCCTGCCTACCCACCTCTAATCTCCCGCTCTCCCTCCCACCCGCTGTTCGCTCGTTCGCTTGCTCGCTGTAAGGGACTCTCTCGCTCTCGCTCTCTCTGGCTGGCTGGCTGGCTGGCTGGCTGTGGCACTGCCGTAGGGGCGTTGCTAGGCGAAGCCGCACTACGGCCGCCGTCACGGATGTGGGGCTGGATTCCGCATGTTCACCTAATTGTCTCTTCCTTCCTCCCAGTTCCTTCCAGTGCCTTTGCGTCTCCCTCCTTCTGGACCAGCAGCAGCAGCAGCCGCGGCACCAGCTCCACTCCATCTCCTTCATGTCTCTGTTTTGCTGATGGAGTCTGGCGGACCTCGCCTTCTCCCGCCTCCTATTTCTATCGCTAGTGCCTTCCTCGCCGGGCTGTCCACGCTGTTCATTCATACTCATGAGATCGCTTCTCTCGTCTGTCGCGAATACGCTTTTCCGTTGTGCCCTTTGCCCTGCGTAAGAGTTGTAGCGTGCCATTGAATTTTAGGGTGGCGGTGTTAGGTGTTCCTCGAGGATTAGTCGTCTGTCCTTGTTCCTGGAAAGTTAGGTTGTAGCGAGGTCTTTACGAGTTAGTGTGTTTCTGGAGTGGTTGTTTTGTTTTGTTAGATTGCAGTTCTAGTGGTGTTCGTTGTTTAGGTGTAATTCTGGGAATTTCGAAGGAGATAGAGGGTTGCGGCTGGAATGCTCGCTTCCTTCTTTATGTAAAGTAGCTAGTCCGGTTGGGTGAGATTGTGGCTGTGACAGAGATTGTGTTGTGGTGTATCTGCGGATATGATTGAATGAGGAAGGCAGAAGGAAAGGGTGAATAGTAACGGGTGGCCGGTGATCGTGCGGCTTTTTCCTCTTTGTGACCTCTGGAGACGTAGGCGGGAGTGGAGATGGGTGAAGTCGGTGTAGCTGTTGTGGGGAAGACCAACTTCGCTCGTCAGTTGGGATCAGCGGATAAGAAAACGCGAGAGAAAGGGTTATCCTTGCTTCTCCTCTGGCTGTCGTGTCAGCAGGTAAGCTGCTGCAGTTTTATCAGTGTTCTGTTAACATCGTAATCCTAGGGTAACCCACTTGAGCACGTTCACAATTGAAAGCCATTTATAATGTCCATACATTTTAGACGACGACTCTTTGCATTAATCTAGGACTCCTCAGCTGGTAACCTTCAGCGAACTAATGCTGAACAGTAGCATTAGAAGTGTTGATTTATGATATACACAGACCGGTAATTTCAAAACTTAATAATTAACGGATATTGCCGTTTAGTGCTGTTGTTATAAAGGTTTCTGTAGGAGCCGGAGTGCTGTCACATTCCGCTCCTTGGGGGCGGGTGGGTCTGTCGCCTCTGCAGTATTTTCAGTGCATATTCATTGTCCTTGATTGCCCAATTTTCAGTGCATATTTATCTTCACTAAGCTTGCACGTAAGCAGCGGGTGCTGCTTCCTTCATTCCTTCGTAGCAGTGCAGTAGATGGTTAGATAATGCAAGTTGTCGTGCAGGTAGATTGTCTGTGGCTGTTGCCATATGTTTTGGAGAGAAGTCGTGTCATTAGGGTGAATGAAGATTCTCTGACTCAAATAAAGTTTTGAGTCAGAATGTTCCGTTCGGAAACATGATTGGGTGAGGTTCAGTGTGCGAGCTGAAGGTGACATTAAACTACGTTTGAACTTCCATGCGTGCCTGTCTTTTGGGACTGACAGCCTCATGATTTATGCAAAGTGAACCATTCATGGATCGTGCTGTCATTTTGCTAGGACGCTTCAACATAGTCTCTATTGTCAATGTAATGATTAACAGGGCTTATCCATGTCATGGATTATCTTCATATCTGTTGTAGTTCTTGTTTAAGTGTGGTCTTACTATATAACGGACTAACACTATTTTGGTAGTTTAACTGGACTTTTAATTCAGTGCATATTTTTGGCTTTCACTGTGACTTACTTCAGTTCTGTCAAGATGGTTAGAGTATCACCTAATAGTCAATCTTTATGGTTGGTTTTCTGCTCGGAATACTGCTTTCTCTTATCCTGAATGGTCTGTTGATGATATTAACTAGAATGCAAATAAGGGTTTTCTGTAGTTAGTTTTAGGCCGTGTAGATTTTTGATGAAGTGCTCGCAGGGGATTTGTCATCTTCATTTTCTTAAAGTACATTCTCTCAATGTGTTTCTCTTCAGAGATCATATGTGCTCTCTGGATATACTCATTACAACCCCTTCCACCCGCCTCATCATTTTGCGGTTTTCTTTTTTTACTCTCTCTTTCTCGAACTTTCTGAAGCGTTCTACGTCCGACGTCTCACTTGTCTCAGGCTATTGATGCTCATATAGTAGGATTCAAGATCGCACTAGATGACGTAAATTAAGAGAAGTGCTACGGAGCATAAGCAACTATTCAAGAAAGAGAGGTTTTACTTGAATATGTAGCTCGGTTGCAAGCCTCTTGGTGAAGATGGTCCTGGAGGCTGGTTATGTATTTTGAGAATTATATAGTCAGAAGGCAGCAGTGTGTAATTCGCTTTTCTGACTTGTATTCTTTGCAGGATGTTGAGGAGGACGAGTTGAAGAAAATATGGAAAGGCTTGTTCTTTTGCTTGTGGCACTCGGACAAGGCACATGTACAAGGGGATCTTATTAATAAGTTAGCTGGCATCCTCGATAGTCTGGACGCGGATACATCTTTGGCTTTCTTCAAAGTTTTTCTTGCTACCATGCGGCGAGAGTGGAGTGGAATCGATAGGCTAAGACTGGATAAGTTTTACCGCCTGTTGAGACAAGTTTTGACGACAGTTTTCGCAATTTTTCAAAAGAGCAATTGGGATGAGGAACTTATTGGGAAATACATGAATGCCCTGGTTGAAAGATCTTTGCTTGCCAAAGACCAGTATCCAGCTTTGGGTGTGAACCTGCACTTTGCAGACATTTTTCTTTCCGAGCTCCGGAAGTTTCAACCTTTGTCTTCTGAAACATTGGGATTGATGCTTCAGCCATGCTATGGTACTCTTGCCAGCGCTCCTGATAAATCCTTGTTGGAGAGGGTTAAAACATGTGTGTTCATTCCTCTCTTGGAAGAAGCCGAGACTTATGTGAAAAGCATGCAAGCTGGTAATGAAGTTGATGAGAGCAGCTTTGGACCACTTGCTGTAACTTTGCCGATTAGTGCACGGCTTTTTGAGTTGGCATCTTCTGAGACTACCTCTCACGCAAATCGGAAGGTTTTGTACGAAATCCATGCTGAATGTGTCAAATTGGACCAGTTGGTTGCTTCTGCAGGTGTTGATTTTAGGAAGAAAGTTAGGGGTGGCACTAACAGCGACATCGAAATGGGTGAAGGAAACGTTTGTGGTGCTACTAAGCAAGTAGGAAGGCAGATTGGTGTAAGGGCCAAGAGGGGCCAAGAGGTCGTAGAAAATGGTTCGAAGGAAAAGAAAAGGAAGGTCAAAGTTGTTTCGTTAGCATCTAGCAATCTGGATGATCTGAACAAGACAAGTGCAACAGGATCTGAGATTTTGAGTGTTGAATCCAAGAAAAGCACCAAAAAGGGGGTGGTGAAACAGGCTAAGTCAAGTAAGCATGAGGTATCAGTAAAAGGAACTGAGGAAACAATGAAAATAACTGACTCCGAGAATGTTGGCAATGAGGTTAACGTTGGCAATGAGGTTAATGTTGAGCAGTGCGAGAAAGTTGATGTGAAGAAGAAGAAGAAAAAGAAGAAGGCGACAAAACAGGAAGCGCTTGCTGAGACCGCCCCTGTCGAAGCTTTGAACAAGAGCAAGAGAAAGGGAACCAAGAGTGTGAGAAAGGGGAAGAGTAGTCATGCAGGTACGCTTAGATCTCAGGCGTAGCTCTAGGCCACAGTGTTATTTTTGAGTTACCGATTGGTCGAAACTGTGGAATGCCCATTTTCATGAACGGAGGGCGAAGTATGAAATGCGTTTAGGCTTTAGTTATTTAAGTATGGTTATTGGAACTATAGTGGACAAAGGTTTATCAGGTATTACCGGTTTAAGATGGGAAGGCTGACGAACATTGAGTTGCGAACAGATTTTTGTCATCGTGATCAAAAGGAATCATCTATAATTTGGATTCGAGCTCTACGTCTGCAACTAACTTACAATGATTATCCTTCTTTTGATCCGTACGATGTGTAGCGAGAGCTGAAGGAAAATGTTCCCTCTGAATGTGTCAAAATTACCTGGACTAATTTCAAGTTTTCTATGAAGCAGTCGAGACAGACGACTTAGTGGAGATCCCCAAGCACCTTTATGTTGATGCAAGTGTAGGAGTTGAAAATGCAATCGATGGTGAACAAGTTCAGTCAGAAGCTGCCAAAAGTTCCACCGCTCAGGTTCTAGAGGGAACTGGAATATCCTCAGGGATGAGAGTTGCAGATTCAATGATCAGTTTGAGTGTGGATGACACTGTCATTTCAAACTTGGAGGAGAAGTTTGATTTCATTGCTGCCGAGTCACATTTAGCGGCAGCTTCCAATGGAGCTTCTAAAGAAACCACCTCTGC